GCGGTTGCGTCAGGCAGATAGTAAGAGGCTAAATGGCCTGACTCTGATTTGGATGTCTCCCTTCAGGAGTGGGGCTTCATACCAACTCCCTAAACGTTGAGGTCAATAGAAGGAGGGATAAAGGATCAGCGGCTTATCCTGTCCTGGCTATTTTGGATAATATAAACACTTTTTATGTGCTCAGCAACAGGCTGGAAGTTTCTCATTCCAAAAGAATTTGGGACCATCCTTCCAGACCTGGATGGAAGTCAAGATAAATTTTTTTAACGGTCAGGCACAAAAGATCAGTTCTCCGCCTGAAAGTCCAATTTGATTTATTGCTACTCGTGCCTATGCATATGAGTCTTCTCAACTAACATTTATCACCTGCTAGGAGTTAGAGAAGGGTCAGTGGAATTCAAGGGAAGTTGGACTTAGTCTTTGCTTGTGTCTATGTAGGGATTCTAGGCTGATTTCTCTCTTGACTCCACCCTCAGGCCTTCCCCTATAGTAACTTACAGAAATGCATGGATGATTTTTCAGAAATCTGTCGGCTGGATAGCCAATCAAGATCTAAAGAAGAGTCGATTGGTGTGTTTTGTTAACTGCTGAAGGATATTGGCTGCTTGTAGATGTGGCCATGGATGGATCAGTTGAGTAAACCTTGGGTAAAATCATGTTCTCCCCACCACCACCAAAAAAAATGCCTTCTGCATTCTTGAATTGCATTGTCAAGGGGAAAAACGGGCACCTTAGAAGCAAGCAACTTATTGCTTCTCTTGTTTAGGACTTTGAAAAGTCCTACATTGTACGATTTAGAAACAAGTCATCATCTGAAAAGTGAGGGACCATTTTTATGAATCGTCATGCTGCAACATCACACTGTGCTAACAATGCTCGGATTTATGTCTATCTTTTGCTCGTGTCTTGCTTGCTCATCTGCTGGGAGAACAAGCTTCATCTTTTAGCTAGTAATTAATGTTCCTCCGCTGGTGTTCAAGAAAGTCATCTCAGCTTCCTGACTTCGAAGAGTGTCAGGAAAGATAACTTTGGGAGAAAAAAAATTGTATTGGGTTCTAGGTTTTCGTCTGTCATTTTGGCCACAAGCCCTTGTGGTTTTTGTTCCAATATCCAAAACACCAACCCAGAGAACAACCAAATCCATCATCCACACCTATGATTCTTCCGACGTTGCAGGATCATCTCTCTTCCCCTTTAGCTAAGCAGGTTGGGGAGGATGGGGCTCACGGTCACCTTGAACCGTGAGGTGGGCACAAATGAATTTGAGAAATAAATCAAATGTCCAGCAAATCTGTACCATCCCACCAATTCCTATCTGTCGTGACCCTGCCGGGATCTGAATTTGAGGAGGAAAGCCGAACAGCTGACAGGGAGTGGGAGTGTGGCTCCGTTGGCTATGGAGGAAACTGGGGAAGGGCAAAGTCCAGCTGGGCAGAGCAGGGGAGAGGTAGAACAAGGGAGGAGTTCAGAGGAAAACTGAGGCCCATGCTGTATTCCAAGTGTGGCCTTACCAAGGCATTATAAAGTGGTATCAAAACTACACGTGATCTTGATTCTATCCCTCTGTTCATGCAGCCTAGGATTGCATTGGCGACTATTCAATCTATCAATCAGAATAGAGCTGGAAGGGACCTTGGAGGTCTTCTAGTCCAGCCCTCTGCTCAAGCAGGAGACCCTATACCATTTCAGAGAAGTGGCTGTCCAGTCTCTTCTTAAAAACCTCCAGTGATGAAACACCCACAATTTCTGGAGGCCAGCTGTTCCACTGGCTAATTGTCCTCACTGTTAGTAAGTTTCTCCTTAGTTCTAGGTTGCTTCTCTCCTTGATTAGTTTCCATCCATTGCTTCTCGTCCTGCCTTCAGGTGCTTTGGAAAATAAGTTGACCCCTGTTCTGACCCAAACCTGGTTCCAAGAGAGCAAACACGAGGCAAAGGTAACAGCACAACCTTTTACTGTTTCATTCAGGAATCCTGTTTCTTCACGGATAAAAAAGGCTGCTTCCAACTAATTAGCTCCGACAAGAACGAGGTTTGCCAAGTTTCTGCCAGGCTGTCAAGAACAACAGATAAGGTTCCTAAACAACAAATCAAAGAGTCTCCAAACACTAACTCAGATATTCTAACGTCCACCAGGCTCAAGTACCAAACTTCTTTGCCTTCTGCGAAGAACTCTGGTTTCTCAGCTGGCTTTTATCTCTTAAGGGAGGAACCATTACCTTGCAGCCTTACTCTCGAGTCGCCCGGGCTGCTGCAGCTGCTCTTTCCTTCGAGCAGCCCTCCGCGCACGTGGGCTGGGCACAGGCTCCTCAGGGACCTCTTCCTCACTGCTGCCAGCCTCCACCATCTCCAAAGACAGCATTCCACTCCCTGATGGTCCTGGCCCCATCCCTGCATCCCACGCAGGTCCCTCATCTGAGTCCTCGCTCTCTGAGACCTCAGGCGTCCACATCTGCTGCTGGTGAACCACAACACCCCCCCCCCCCCCCTCTGTGGGGCAGCCCCTTAAATACTGTAATGCAGCTATCATGTCACCCCTAGTCCTCCTTTTCTCAGAATCAGCTGCATCGTGCACACAAGTTTGTGTGTCCGGCAGCTTTCAGCTAGGAGGGTTCAACAAACCAGGTTGCAAAATTAGCGGCTGTGTGTGTGTGTGTGTGTGTCTTTGCAGAAGTCCAGAGGACCTACTAGACGGCCATCAAGAAATTCCCCAGCCTTAAGTAAATTGCAATTTTGAGAGGCCTGTTACGGCCGGGCGACTTTACCCTCCATTTGCCTAAGGCATGCAGAAACCTCCGGCCAGCCTTCACTGCACAGATTACAGATAGTCCTCAATCTACCACCGTTTGTTTTAGTGGCCATTCCAAGTTACGTTAGGTACCGACTTATGAGGGTTGCGGCGTCCTGGGGTTAGGGGATTCCCCCTTTGCAACCTTCTGACCAGCGAAGTCCAGTGAAGAAGCCAGGTCCACTTAAGGACCGTCTTACTAGCTTAAGAACTGCAGCAATTCGCTTAACCGTGGTGGCAGGCGAGGTCGCAGAATGGAGCAAAACGTACTTAACCTGTGTCTCACTTAGCAACAGAAATTGGGGTCAATTGTGGTCAAGGACTACCTGTATAATATAACCGGGCTTTATGATGCAGGAAGTTAAACCTCCTCTGCTTAAGCTGTGTGTAGCTTTCGTACCTTTATTTTCCTTTTACGTCAAGGCGCTAAGCACCTTTGCTTCCTGCTCTCCTCCTCCTCAAGTTCGGATGTTCTATTACTTTACAAAATGGAAATCTGTACTTTTCTCCTGCTGCCTCTCACCCGAGTCTCTTTCTCTTCCCTGCTAATGCAGAGCGCTTGCTAGAAGCAGCGTGAGCCTGATAAAATATCGACCCCAGCAGCTTTTATAAAGTGGCGGATTCAGCTCTGGCAACCGTCTTTGATGCGCTCCAATTTCCTTCAGGGGGTTTCAAGGAAATTGGAAGAGGCAGCGGAAGGAGAATTGCTCAGCCGGCAAAAAAATAAAAATAAAATAAAAATCTTTTGTTTTGGTGCAGTGTCGCCAGAGGTGGTATTCAGCTGGTTCAGACCGGTTGCGGAGAACCAGTAGTGAAAATTTTGAGTATTTTGGAGAACCAGCCAATGCTACCACTGACTGGCCCCACCAACACCAACTCTTCTCCGCCTCCCATTGAGTCCCAGCTGATCATTGGCGGGATCTTCTTTGGTTGCCCTGCGCAGGAGAACGGAGCTGGAAAGCAGGTTAGTGGGATGGGGAGTAGAGGTGGCATTGAGCCGGTTTTGAACCTCGTGAAAAGCTGGAGGATGATTTGATAATGAATTTTACTCACAATGGATTGATCCCATGTTATGCAAACTCTTTGTGGCTCAGTCTCTGGTAGCAGTTTCCAAAAAAAAAAAAAACCCTCAAAAAACGAGGAACTGCTGGAATTTGGAATATCTCGTATAAAATGATGGAATAAATAGTGTAGTCATGGATGATTAATAACTGATAAATATATAAATATACGTTAGTTTGACAATGTGAAAATTGATATAAATTGTGAGTAATGACTACAAAAGGATAGCACAAAAGATTTGGGGCAGAAACCCAATTGTGCCTTCCAGTTTCTTTACTCAAAGTAGAAATTGAAACGTTTCTGTAAAAACATTGGTCTGCGTTGGGCCCGTTCGGTACTCTCTTTCTGAGCTTGGTTGCTTTCTTGCAGACGTTTTGTGACCCAGCTAGGTAACATCATCAGTGTTAGAAGGGAGCGGTGTTAATCTGACAGAATTGATGTTTCCTAGTTGGCTCATGAAATGCCTGTAAGAAAATACGCCAAGCTCAGAGAGCACCAAGGACATCTTCCTCCGCTCCTTCACGTTAAAAACATGACTCCCTTCCAGCACTGAGGATGTTACCTAGTTGGGTCATGAAACGCCTGCAAAAAGAAACAACCAATCAATCTCAGTACTAAGGATTCCAGTCTTCCTCCCCTCCTCTCCACAAACCCCTCCCCCTTCTATCTCTGCTGATGTTAACTACTTGAGGATTACCTGTATTAATATGCAAGGTTCTTGCATATGCATATTAGGTTATATGCTCTAATTAATCCCTAGATTGCATTTGTATCAGTAGTTCTGTTTTTTTTTCTCCTAGAGACACTGAAGAAGATTGAGTTGGAATAACGTTAACCAATAACCAGAGAGTGGTTCTAGAAACCGTTTTCTTTTTTATAAAGTCTACCTATGTTAAGAATTCAATATTGGTGTACATTTATATTAACAGAATATTTACATGTTGCTTTCTTTTGTTGTTGTATTTAAAACAAGAAGTCAAAAAACTCTAATTTTCTCCATAATATAAGGCAAAAAACAAACAGTTTTTGTACATTATTATTAATTATTATTATTAATTATTATTTTTTTAATATATATCTGTAACTTCAATTTCAAAGTACCAGAGAAACCAGTGGCCTCAATTCAGGAACCTCACAGTGGACTGTATGAAACTACAGTTAATCTCCATAAATAATACTTTTAAGAAACCCTGGATGTATGGTTTGTTTTTGTTTTTCTTTTACTTAAGGATCTGAGGCCACAAAATTTAAACTAGAAACAAAAACTTCCTTTTCTTTTCTTTTCGCATGTGTTGTGTGTGTGTGTGTGTGTGTGTGTGTGAACAAAGAGCACAAAATTTAAAAAAAAAATACATTCATTAAAAATGTTCCTGGCATTTGGGGCAACAACGAAAAATAAAAATAAAATAAAATGTACAAACCTGGTAATAGTTTAAACTCAGCACAGAAGCAAAAGGGGAGGAGGAAAAAAAAGAAAGAAAGAAAAGAACAGAATAAAACCAGGAAACAAGAAGAAAAAAAAACAAAAAACCAAAGACCTATATATTAAAATTTTCCATTTCTTTTTCTTTGTCAGCAACCGTGCGGTCTCGAAAGGTTTGCAACCTTTGGATGCCTCCTTCTGCGCGATCCCCCACTTCCCCTCCCTTCCGTCGCGTTTTGCAACTGTGCTTCATTTCTACAAATTTTACAGTTTTTTTTTGTTTTAAAAAAAGTTTTACAGCAGTGCATTTTCTTTTTGTTTTAAAAAAAGGGGGGTTTCCCCCCCCCCAACCCCATTCCCCTCCCCCCCTGTCCTCCTCTATTATTTATACAGGTAAATTTGGAAAAAACAAAAAACAATTATCCTGCAGGCGGGCCGGGAGCTATCGTGCCTCGACTTCTTTGGCATTGCTAGAAGGGGAATAATCCCGCGATTCCGGGTTTGTGAGCGGGGTAGTCCGACGTGGGGAGGAGGGTCTCGTACTACTCGCTGGGACCAATGGGGGTGGAGCGCTGAGCGCGGCAGTGGGCGGGTTCCGGCTCAAAATCCCGTTGTGCATGGCGGCCGAAGGGCTGAGCCTGGGGTAATGCATGCTGCTGAGATGAGACATGAAGGAAGGCATGTGGGCCAGGTGGCTTTCAATGGGGGAGGTGTGCAAGTGGTGCATCCTGACACGCTCGAGTTCCTCCCGTAAGTGCAACCTCTCCCGCTCTTCCGCTTGCCGGAGACGCTCCTGCTCCCGGCGCGCTTCCAGAAGGTTCTCGTGGTTGTAGTCATGGGGTTCGCGGTCCCGGTAAGAGCGCTCGTGGTCATAAAATCCCGAGGCAGCGGGAAACCGGTGGATGGGATCCGACCGGAGCTGGAAGTCCATCCGGCGGTGCAGGTCTAAGCTGCGGTAGGCGTCGCGCAAGGGGTCCCTCATGGGGTCCCAGGAAAAGCCCGGGTGGGGTAGCCTCTCCCGCCCCGCAAGCGGGTTCATGCCCATCAGCGGGGTCATCATCCGGCTACGTTCCAAAACGTTCATGTTGTTCATCTGATGGACGCTGCCCATAGAGATGGGCATGGCGGCCGCCATGGTGTGAGGCAGGGGCAAGCCGTGGAGAGAAGCGGGTGGCGGGTGCTCGGCGCCGCGGGGATGCTGCGAAGTTTCTGAGCTCACCACCAAGACATCGCTCTCCTCTTTGCGCTCTTCTTTGACTTTGACGTCGTTCTTGATCTTCTGGAGGTCCGCCAGCAGCTCCGGCTTCCTCTCCACGTCCTTGTTCATCAGGTTGCTGAGTTTCAAGCTCTCGCTCAAGGCCGGCTTGCTGTAAGGAGAAACCGACTGGATTACGGGCTTGGTATTGTCCTCCAGGGATCTCTTTTCATGGCTGGGAGGTTCCTTCACCGGGGAGCGGCTTTCTTTGATCTTCTGCTCCACCACCGGAGGGGGATCTCTGAGCCGGTCGGGAATCTCTCTCTCCAGATCTTTAGATCGGTCTCGTTCCAGGAGGGCAACCTGCCGGCTGGAATCACTCGCCGCCTGGCTGTTGCTACGGATGAGGTTGCTGATCTGGTGGGTGACGGGAGCTGAAGCCGGGGAGGATCGGTTTGAGTGCCTGCTTTTGTCCAGAAGATCCCTGGAGGGAAGGAGATTGAGACAACGGGTGTCACCGTAAAAAAACCCCTTTTGCATTATTATTCAACAGAGTTCGTAAACGTGGTTATATATATTGAGTATGTGTAGTGTGTGCCAGTAAAAGAAACAAACATGTGATGTGCCCATGGATTATTATAATACCACTAGGGTGGCTTGATTCAAATCACAGGCTGAGTCGGTCCAGTTAGTAAGATGGATGGCATGAAAACAGAGCAGAAGGGAGGGGTGAGAGAAGATAAGCAAGGTGGAGAGAATAGAAAGGGAGGAAGAAAGGAAGGAAAAGAGAGAGGAAGAGATGGAGAAAGAAGGAAGAAAGGAGGAAGGAAAAGAGGGAGAGAGGAAGGAAGGTGGGAGAGAAGAGAAGTGAAGAGAAGGAAGGTAGAGAA